CATAATAAAATCTGTTGGTATAGGACTTTACCTTTACCACATTAAACTCTGCATAATCTTGGTATCTTAACCCACAGTGATCAGAGATTTTAAACATTTACTATTTATCTTTTACTTCCTCAGCTGCAAATCAGCATTTTCAAACTCTACGTGTCAAAGCCCACACGACCACTGGTGGTAGTCAGAGCTTGTGGTGATCACAACTTGTTGTGGCCATAGTGGCTGCTGAGGCATCACTGCTACCCTAGGGGCAGCCAGGGTCTGTCGTGGACAGCACAGCTGCCCCAGATCCAGCCGCTTGGCTCACAGTCTTTTACTAGCAAGCTGTGTCCCTTTGTGAGTGGTAGGCAGCCTGTGAGGATCAGTATCAGGCTCTACACTTGCTTAGTGAATGTCCCCACAATTTTAATTTAAGGCAAAGAGCCAAATCTTGGCAATGCTGAGTTGTTCCTTCCCCTCCCCAGCTGGACCTACTTGATCCCTTCAGCAGCTTGGATTCTGCCCTACGTTCTCCTGGACGCTCTGTTTCCCTCAAATAGTAATGACTCCTTATCTGCGCAGCACTCAAGATCACAGTCACCTTTTCACAATGTGGACAGAGTTAGCAAGTCAAAATACAGGACACTCAATTCAATTGCAGTTGTGTGTGACATACTTAATAGTTACACTAAAAAAAAAATCCATCATTGGCCGGGCGTGGTGGCTCACGCCTATAATCTCAGCACTTTGGGAGGCTGAGGTGGGTGGATCACTTGAGGTCAGGGGTTCAAGACCAGCCTGACTAACATAGTGAAACCATGTCTCAAAAAAAAAAAAAAAGTTAAAAAAGAATCCATCATTGATCTTGAAATTCAGATGTAAGAGTAAGTCCTGTACCTTACATGGCCTCCCTACAGCAAGTTCAGTCTAAGTGGACAGGTGTGAGCCTGGCGAGCTCTCCACCATGGCTCCTTCAGGGAGTTCCTTCCTGGTCTTGCCAGGCTGTGGTGCAGTATGTGGGCGGCAGAGCTCATGCCTCTTCATTCGAGAGAACTTCCCATTCCTTCTCTCTTCCTGCTCTCTGTCACTGAAACAATCTTAACAGTAGTAATGGGATATAAGGTTTTTTATCCTCACATGAAAAACTCAAAAACTGTAGGTGTGAGTTTTTTCAGAAGGCTAGAGCTGCCCTTCCAAAGAGAATCTTCTTGCTCTAATTGTAGCTGCAGTGTTCAGTAGTCACGTTTTGGTCCCCAGGCTCTAGCCCTGCAGACAGGTGCCCCGCTGGTGCGTACAATTCAGACAGATCACGCCTGCTTTCCCTCCCAGATGCAGCAATTTTGATCCCACGGAAACCTCTGTGCCCAGGGAGCCTCCACAAACAGTTCATTCCCTCAGTCTCAGGGATGTGCACGACAGTGGGGCAACAGTGATCCACGCAGGCCATGTCACTGCTTCAAGCCTCAGTCTCCTATCTGTAAAATGATAGGTGGGCAATCGGGCCACAGCTTATTTTGTAGCTGGGCCTCGAGGCTGGGCAATGAAACTTGCATGTTAAAAGAATGCTTGGTTCTTTCTTTCCTGACTCATCTCTGCACTATAAAGTTTAATATTATTAACATGATGACTAAGTCACAGATCATGTCCTGTAGGGAAAATGAATTGGAGTATGATGCTAAAAGCCCTACATCTAGGTACTTACCAGCCATTATTTATCTAAGCATCCTTTGGAAGTCAAGATTATCTCTCTCATTTTACCAATGAGAAAACTGAAGTTCAACAAGACTTGCTTTTGAAGGTTATGAAGAAACCGAGACTCAAGACTTTCCTGCCTAGGCTGGGCGTGGTGGCTCATGCCTGTTAATTCCAGCACTTTGGGAGGCTGAGGTGGGTGGACTGCCTGAGCTCAGGAGTTCAAGACCAGCCTGGGCAATACAGTAAAACCCTGTCTCTACTAAAATACAAAAAAATTAGCCAGACATGGTGGTGGTGGGTGCCTGTAGTCCCAGCTACTGCAGGAGAATTGCTTGAACCTGGGAGGTGGAGGTTGTAGTGAGCCAAGATCACACCACTGCACTCCAGCCTGGGCAAGAGAGTGAGACTGTCTCCAAAAAAGGACAAACTAACAAAAAAAGACTTTCCTCACCAAAGTCCACATTCCTCCCAGTACCCGCATTGTTTCTCTAGAAGCCAGTTTCTAGCACGAGACCCAGGAACAGGAATAGCTCAGCACACAACGCCTGGTTACCGCACCCCCGACGCTCAGCACAATGCCCGGTCACAGCACCCCCGACGCTCAGCACAACACTGGTCACAGCACCCCGATGCCTGAACTAGGTGGTGAGAGCAGAGGGATGCCCGAAATCTGCTGGGGCTGAAGTGAAACACCTCCTGTTGTCATGCTTGTCTAGTGACAGCAAAGTCATCAGACTGCAGAGAAAGTGCATCCATCACTTCGCAGGCTCGGGGCCCCTGGCACGTAATGGACAACAGCACTCTCCCTGCTCGGCAAAAGAGCCCCTATGTGTCGCATTTAAGGGCCTTTCTGCCCCCTCCTCTGCCCAGGCTTGCTATCATGCCTCTTGGGTCTCCTGGGCTCTAGTCTAGAACATTCCAGGGGTACCACCCACCTTCCCTAAAAGCTGCAGGATCTTACTCTGAAGTCTTCACCTGCTAATTGACTCAGGCTTTTCCCTCTGTCCCTCGTGAGAGTCATGGGCCAGATCCTTGCATGGTGCTGGGGCTGAAGCTGCAGACATGGGTCGGGTGCACATCCCCTTAGAGAGCTCCAGAAAGCCCAGGCTGCATCTTGCTTAGCCTGGCTGGACTCAGAAGGTGTGTTTATTCTTAGGATATCCTAGAACATAGCAAGAAATGTGCTCTTCAGCACAGAAATAGTTCCAGTGAAAAGAAAAAGATCACGCAGCACTAGAGCCCATCTCAGGAGATGACCTCAGGTCTCACACCCCATTATCTCCAGATGCCCACTGTTAACTGTACCGTATCAGGGCATTTGAGACTTTCCATCAAGGAGAGCTTAGCTATATAAATTTAACATTGTAGATCTAACTACACAAAACAGAGAAGTCAGCTGTTTGAGCTTTCAATGACAGATATTTTAATTGTGGAATTTTTAAAGCAAAAAAAGCAATGGAAACTTCATTTTTATTCTAGACCAGTCTATCCCAGACATGTTAATTATGGTTGGCTGTGCTGAGTTGTCATTTACCGTGTGAAATGCAAATGTCTGTAAATTGCAATGCCTGGGGCCAAGCCAGGCCAGTGGACTTGTGTGCAGTTCCCACTAGAGCCAGGAGCGGCTCAGACCGCAGACCCAACCCAGTCCACTGGGTTTTGCAAACACAGGTTCCCTCCACAGCAGCAAGGGCTTGTGGAAGGGTGGCAGGCTGATGCCAGCATGCATGCCAGGGGCCTGGGGTGCTCCCCACACCTGCAGAGGTGAGGGGTGCAAAGTGAGCTGAAAACCAAACACTGTGTTCCCCTTTGGCCGTGAAGAAATGCCTCAACCAACTCCGACAGACGCAGGGTGCTCAATCTCTTCACAGGAAGAATGTGTACAAAAAACTCGAAGCTTTTCTTTTTCCCAAATGGCTGTTGAATTTATTTGCTTGATCAATAATGGTCCTGGCAAAAATTAGTTAACCAATGTGAGACATTTGTAATGAAATACTAATTTAAAAAATCCATGACACCTTGATAGAAATTAGAGTTTACACAAACAGAAAAGGAACCTTTGATATTGCCAGCAGCTATAAAGTAAATGTACTGAGACCGACAGGACAGCAAGAAGGCATTTGCACATTTATATCTGACACCCGACCATACTTTCAGTCACCAGAATATCTTCTCTCCAGATTTAAAAAAATAGTATGCTGATTTCTATAACAAAGCTTTTTTCCGTACAAAAATCAAATAATGGCCAACGAGTCACAACAGTGCAATAGGTAGAGGATTAAAAACTGCATCAAACAGGTGCTGAAAATAAATACTACCTAGGAGGAGGAGGAGGAGGAGGAGGAGGAGGAGGAGGAGGAGGAGGAGGAGGAGGAGGAGGAGAGAGCCCTCGTGTGGGGTTTGTTTTCATCCCCTTGAATGTGTGTGGGGTTTGTCTTCCGAGCCACGAGCCTGGCCTGTCGCGGTGCTGTTCACTCTTGACACAGTGTGACTGCAGCACATTGCCTCCAGAGCCCGGCCTCCCAGAAGCCTCAGAGCATCAGAGCATCCGTCTCATCGGATGGACCAGAAACAAGAAAATGGGGTGGGGTGAATCACAGCTATCATTCAAAGGAAAGGAATTTTTTCTATTGCTCAATCTTGTCAATTGGGAGTCCACCAGTAGGTTCACCAAGACGATATGGATCATTTCAAACTTTTGTTTAAGAGAATATATATGGCTTATTCAGGCAAGGAGACGTGTACATTCTAGCCCAAGCAAGCAATCAGAGTCATTCTGTTTTTAAGGAAGGTCAGTCATTTAAAAGACTTCTGGTTTGAGCAACATCCTCTGTGGATGCACCAGGCCAAGGTGACTACCTTTGACCAACCCCGTGAGAAGACCTTTGTTGGTCCCCGCAGTGAGGAACTGGCGGGAATGGGCGGCCTCCTCTCCGCAGGCCTGTCCTGCCAGGGGCAGGTGGGCAGGCTCCACAGGCAGCCCCTGTCTATGGCCAAAGAGGCCATCCTGGTGACTCGGGCTTATGGACTGTGGTTTAGAACTGCAGAAGGAGTTAGGAGGGTAGGCCAGGGAACACCCACCAGCTGCCACTCTGGCCAGTCAGAGAATGTGAGGCAGCTCCCCCATAGGGATCTGCACCGAGAAGGTGTGGAAGGCACAAGCAAGAGTGACGGTACCAGAGATCCCGGAGGGCACGGCTCGTGGCAGCCACAGCAGGCACAGCGCTGACCTGGTGTGGTTCCCCCTTGAATGAAAAAAGAGATCCTGATTCTGCTGTGATAAAAAAGCAAAGAAAGACAATTTTTGGTTTAAAAAGAAGCCACTCAAGGGTTAAAATAGTTATTTTAAGTTAACAAAGAAAATTAATCTTCAAATAAGCTGACACTATCTGGAAAACTCATCTGTCCCTAAAGCCCACAATGCGTCCACTGCTTCATCCTCCCACGGAACCTGAGCCTGATGTGAAGGAGTCAGACATGTAACAGAGGAAGAGTCTGAGAAGAGAAGAAGACACCTTTACAGAATGTACAGCGAGAGAGCCAGCCTGGCCCCCAGGTTACAGTAAGATGCACAGGTCCTTTCAGTCTCACGGACTCCGGATGGCCGTGCAAGCTGCTCAGATGGACGTCTCCTTCCTGTCCCTGCTGGGCGATGGCTTCACCGGCTCCTTGCCTGCCTTTGGCTGCTCTTTAGCTGCTTTCGGTTCAAGGACGCTATCTCTGGGCGGCTGGACAGCACCCCCACGCCACTCGGGCTCCTCGTCCTCCTGTGCCTGCTGGTCGGCCTTGACTCGCTGCATCTGGAGCAGCCGGAGCTGCACTCGCAGCTCGATGATGGCCTCACGCTCCTCGTGAATTGCTTGATTCAAATGATTGTTCTTTATCTTTGGGAATGACAGAAAGGGCAGTTATCATTTAAGGATGTCAGAGGACGATGATTTCTCAGGAGCAGACCGCAGTTAGCAAGGGCTTCCTACAGAGCAATTTCGTTTTGTTAAAGTCAATGGGTTGTGAAACAGAAGACAAACACAATCAGAATGCACAGTGAGCCACGTGACTCCTCAGAATGTGAGGCTGGAAACCCTGCTCCTGATTACAGGAGAGAAACGCAACCATGTGCCAGCAGAAAACCATTATTTTAATAATTCAGTATCCTAGTGTTTAAAATAGACAACTTATATAACATTTTGAACTGATTTCTGAACAGCGCTTAAGGAGAAAATAAAAGAAATTTTAGTAGTAATTAGAGAGGAGAGTTAGAGATCAGATAAAAAACTAAATTTGTTTCAAAGGTGAATATCCTTTGTCTTTTGTGAATGGGATTACTTTAATTCTGAAATGTCCTACTCAAATCAAACTACAGAAAATTAGTATCACTTCTAAATCATCTGGACATACTGGGCAAAGTGTAGGTACTATGGAACAGCAACAGCCTTTCCTGCTGTGGCCTCCACTCTGTGATGGGTGCCAGCCTCCCTTGCGTGAGTGTGGCATGGACTAGGCTCTGCGAAGAGGACGTAAGCACAAGCGCCGAGCGCCACGTGTGCACCCTGCCTTGGTGACCGCGCATGCCTTGCTCCCTTCCCTGCTGACTTAGTCCTGCTAAGAGTGGTAAGACAGAGCAGCCACGTTGGACCGCTGGAAAAAACTGGTGTGGAGGATGATGGGCTGGACTGCCTGCCACACGAGGCATCATCTTGTTTAAACCACTATGTTATTCTCTTTGTTACAGCAGTTCAGCCTACGCCCCAAGTACAATACTTCTGGATTCCGTTTCCCTACTAATATGATCTGAAAATGTTAAGAAAAGAACAGCGGTGCCAATGTGAGGCCTTTCTGAACAGGAGCTCCAGCAACCCTGGTCTCAGCACCTGCAGGGCTTCCTCCCACAGCACACTCCTGCTGCAGCAAGGGTCTCTGCCTTGAGCCTTTGTGGCTGACTCTGAGCCCTGATCGCAGGCTCAGTAGAGGATTCCTGTGCAGGGTGGCTGTGTATGGAATTTTGCTTTTCTATGCAGGGTGTAAGTCTGGTTCGCAGCAGCCACTAAAGGAACCCAAATGAGGGACGCAGAGCTGTCCCTCTGTCCTTAGACTCTTTTCTATGAAGAGGATGTCTTCTCTCAATCTTTACTCAGATATTTTATTTGGGGTAAGAAGGGGAATTGTGATCTAGACCTTTATCGCTGCGATTCCCTCTCACCTGCTGCCTCTCAGGTTTAGGCCAAGAGAAACTCTGAGAAACCCACAGAGAGACTTGAGAGACTGTCCCTTCTGTCACTAGCACTGATTTTGCTGTTCACCTTCTCTGGCAACAGAGGCTAGGTCATTCAAAGCTGCTCAAGCTGACACAGTAAAGTGAGGCTTGCCTTTACTTCAGGAGAAAGGTCTACATATCATACTAAAGTCATGGAATGCCACTTCACAGCCTGAGGAAGACACACAGGTGCCATCTCCTTAGCCAGAACTTAGCTCGTGTCCCACAGACACTCTGTGAGGCATCCCTTAAATTCCTCTCTACTCAGCCTCCCAGCTGGCAATCAAGAAAAAGGACAATTCTGAGGGTAAATATGTGGCCTCTACAACTTTCTGAAAGTTAGTATGCTTTTTTGGCTACTTCCCCCCAAAACTCACTTCCAGCTCTTCGTTCTGTCTCTGTAAATCTTCCAGAATGATCTGCAGTTCCTCCTCATCCTCACTCTCACTCTCGCTCTCAGAGGAGTACTCCTCAGTCTCGCTGCGGCCGTGCTGCTGGCGACTGCAAAGGCGAGAGACAAAGGAAGGCGTTACTGGGCATGCTTGTCTGTGACCTCCTTTATATTTACCCTATTTTCATAAGTCTCCTCAATATAAAACCATTCTCAAGACCTGATAAATAAGAAACTTAAAGATGATTAATTTCACATGCCTAATACTTTTGTAGGAAAGTCTGAGAGATAAAACAATTATGTTTATATTTAAAGAAACATTCTCAGAAGCCTCAAAACCCTTGGCTTTCCTTTACCTCTGAATTTCAGCAATCTCGGCTCTGAGGCGTTCAATCTCTTCCTTTTCTGAGGCAATCTGCCGGCGCAGAAACTGCTCCATGGCCAGGAGCTCCTCCTGTTCAGTCAGGATCTCATTCTCCTGAAATAATGATCACTGGTGAACACCTCTGAGTTTTACTCCAGGAAATGTCACTTGTTTGGGGTCTCCCATGTTGCCCTGAATTCTTGAGCCCCATTGAGTGCTGAACATGAGTTATGTACTTCACAACCAAAAACATCCTATTTCATTAGGGTCAAGAAGAGGCTTCTTTGAGAAAAGGTAAAGTTATTTTAGGGGAACGACTAGATTTTTCTCAATAACAAAATGCCACACAGGAACTTCACATCCTCCTACTGCAAAAGCCCCATGAAGCCCACACACGGGAAGAAGCCAGGGCACGAGGGATGAAATTGGCTTTAGTTTCCCACTCTTTATCCCTCCCCATCTCTCAGGAAAGTAGGTGTATGCAGTGACATTTGATATGGTCACTAGGAAAAGAAGGATCCATGAGATGTCTGGCTGATGTTAGTGTTAACTTTAAGGTAGATCAGAGTAAAGGAAAGATCACAGAAAGTTTTTCTCCTTTCCACAAGCCACCATCCTCTTTAAAGTCCTCAGAGGGTTTTTTTTTTTTTTTTTTTTTTTTTTTTTTTTTTTTTTTTTTT